GAAAACACATGCGCTAAGCTCCTTGACATAAGTCTTGGTGATGATTTTTTGATTCTGACACCAAAAGCAAAAATAAAGAAGTGGGACCACATCCTATTAAAGAGCTTCTGCACAGCAAAGGTAAGCATCAATAAAATGAAAAGGCGACCTACTGAATGGGAGAAAATATTTGCAAATCATATCTCTCTCAGATAAGGGGCTAATATCCAAAATATATAAAGAACTCATACAACTCAATAGCAAAAAAACAAACAATCTGATTAAAAAACGAGCAGAAGATCTGAATAGACATTTTTCCAAAGAAGACATATAGACGGCAAACAGGCACATGACAAGCACAGTGAGCTATCATCTCACACCTCTTAGAATAGCTATTATCAAAAAGGTGAGATAACAAGTGCTGGTGAGGATGTGGAGAAAAGGGAACTCTTGTGCACTGTTGGTGGGAATGTAAATTGGTGCAGCCACTATGGAAAACAGTATGGAGGTTCCTCAAAAAATTAAAAATAGAACTACCATATGATCCAGCAATTCCACTTCTGGGTATTTATCCGAACAAAACAAAAACACTAACTCAAAAAGATATTTGCACCCCCATGTTCATTGCAGCATTATTTACAATAGCCAAGACACGGAAACAACCTAAGTATCCATCAATGGATGAATGGATAAAGAAAATGCAGTGCGTATATATATTTTTTTATTTTATTTATTTTTTTGTGTGTGAGGAAGATCAGCCCTAACATCTGCCAATCCTCCTCTTTTTTTGCTGAGGAAGACCGGCCCTGGGCTAACATCGTGCCCATCTTCCTCCACTTTATATGGGACGCCGCCCCAGCATGGCCTGACAAGCGGTGCATTGGTGCACACCCGGGATCCGAACCAGCGAACCCCAGGCCGCCACAGTGGAACGCGCGCACTTAACCACTTGCGCCACCAGGCCGGCCCCTGCAGTGTGTATATAGACAACGGAATATTATTCAACCATAAAAAAAGAATGAAACCTTGCCATTTGTGACAACATGGATGGACCTCAAGGGCATTATGCTAAGTGAAATAAGTCAGACAAAGAAAGACAAATACCATATGATCCCTCCTATATTATATGTGTGATCTAAAAATAAAAAAAAAAGCTCATAGATACAGAGAAAGATTGGTGGTTGCCAAAGGCAGGGGGTGAGGGGTGGGAAAAATGAAATTTTTTAAAAAAAAGGAAACTTCAGACATGGTTGGATCCAGGGGCTTGAAAATAATTGATAAAAAATGAAAATCAGTTACTAACTAGGCAATGAAAATTGCTAGCTGTCTCCTCCTTGGTAGTGATTTCAGCTTGAAACCACATGCTGCCAAATCCAGCTCATCCCTGACCCTCCACCCATGAGAACCGTGGAGGCGCCACAGAGGGTTTGACCTCCTCTGGCATGAGCAAGGTGGCTCCTGCCAGGCCGTCGAGACTTGTTCAATAACTAAAGATTGGCTAATGTACTAAACAGTTACTCAATATGTCCAATACCATGCCCAGTGCTGGAGATTACAGGAATGAATGAGACAGACTCTAATCCCTGCCTTCATGGAGTTCATGTTCTAGCAGAGGAAACAGACCTGAAACTCAATAAATCAGTAAATTATAAAAAAATAAATTTAAAAAAATGAGAGAGAGGCCAGCCCAGTAGCACAGCAGTTAAGTGCACGCCCTCCGCTTCGGCAGCCCGGAGTTCACAGGTTCGGATCCCGGGCGCGCACCGACGCACTGCATGTCAAGCCATGCTGTGGTGGCATCCCATAGAAAGTAGAGGAAGATGAGGCCGGGCCCGTGGCTTAGCGGTTAAGTGCTCGCGCTCCGCTGCTGGCGGCCCAGGTTCGGATCCTGGGCACGCACTGACACACTGCTTCTCCAGCCACGCTGACGCTGCGTCCCACATACAGCAACTAGAAGGATGTGCAACTATGACATACAACTATCTACTGGGGCTTTGGGGGAAAATAAATAAATAAATAAAATTATAAAAAAAAAAAAAGAAAGTAGAGGAAGATGGGCACGGATGTTAGCCCAGGGCCCAGTCTTCCTCGGCAAAAAAGGGGAGGATTGGCGACAGATGTTAGCTCAGGGCTGATCGTCCTCACAAAATAAATAAATAAATAAATACGAGATACCATTACTACCCACTAGAATGGCTAAAATTTAAAAAAAACAAAACTGATAATACCAAGGTGCTGGCAGGGAATAATTTACATACAATAAGACTCATTCACTTAAAAAAATAAACACAATAGATACCACTACATACCTACTAGCATGGCTAAAATATTTTAAAATATGTAACACCAAAGTGCTGGCAAGGATGCTGAGCAACTGAAATTCTATACATTGCTGGTAGAAATGCAACATGGTACATGCACCCTGGAAAATAGCTTGGTATTTTCTTATAAAGTTAAACATACATTAAAAACAAACAAGGCTACAGTAGTAAAGACACAGATGATGGATACAGAGATACAGAGACATAGATGTGGAGATATAGATACAGATATAGATATAGGTATAGACATAGACATGGATATGGATATAGATACAGACATGGATATAGGCATAGACATGGATATGGATGTAGATATAGACAAGGAGATATAGATACGGATACAGAGATAGATATAGGCATGGATATATAGATATAGACATGGATGAATACAGACATAGACATGGATATGGAGATACAGATATAGACATGGATACAGACATAGACATGGATATGGATATAGATATAGACATGGAAATAAAGACATAGACATAAACATGGATATAGATATAGACATGGAAATAAAGATATAGACATGGATATAGACACAGACATGGGTATGGATATAGGTATATACATGGATACAAACATAGACATGGATATGGATATAGATATAGATGTGGAAATAAAGATACAGACATGGATATAGACATGGAGATAAAGATATAGACAGGGATATAGACAAAGACATGTATGGATATAGATATAGACATGGAGATATAGATATAGACATGGATATAGACACAGACATGGATATGGATATAGATATAGACATGGAAATATAGATATAGACATGGATATAGACATAGACATGGATATGGATATAGGTATAGACATGGAAATAAAGATATAGACATAGGCTGGCCCAGCGGCATAGTTGTTAAGTTTGCGTGCTCCACTTCCACAGCCCGGGGTTTGTGGGTTCGGATTCTGGGTGCAGACCTACACACCGCTCATCAAGCCATGCTGTGGTGGCGTCCCACATATAAAATGGAGGAAGGTGGGCACAGATGTTAGCTCAGGGCCAATCTTCCTCAGCAAAAAGGGGAAGATTAGCAACAGATGTTAGCTCAGGGCTAATCTTCCTCACACAAACAAAAAAAGATATAGACGTGGCTATAGACAAGGAGATACAGAAATAGACATGTAGACATAGACATGGATATGGATATAGATATAATTTTGACATTTGGCTTTCTAGGCTGAAGTATATGCAAGACTATGTCCCAATATCTTGCCAGTTCATTTTCTAACATAGCTTTAATTTCTCAGAAACATTATTTTGATTTTAGCACACGATTAGTGTTGCTGACTTCACCCCTATCCCCATCCACATTTTTCTTTAAACAGGGCTCACATCCTGTCTCTTTTTCCCCCTGATGTCTTCTGGGTGGATCTTACAAAGTTCTAAGTTGGAAGAGAGTTCTCTGTGGTTTTTCTAGCTTTGCCTTACTCCGAAATAAATGATCACAGCAAATCGATTGAAAATGAGTTAGAAAATAAAGCAGAGGGAGGCAGTATAATCCCCTTCTTAGAGCCAAAGAAGCTATTTGGTCTGCCTGAGACCATAGTAAGCCCACTGTAAAAAAAAAGAAGAAGAAAAAGAAAAAAAAAGAAAGAAATCCTTCTTTATCAACTAAAATAGCATTGCTTTACAGATCCTCCAACAGTTGCCAGTGGGTCCAATTACTCACCATGTGAGTTCCAATACAGTTTACTGACACCAAGGCTTCCCGAAGGGTCATGTTTTACAAGAAAAAATGCCACATTCTCCTCCTAAGGGTGCCCACACACACACCTCTTGGCCTCCGGTTGTATTTGAACCAGAGAAAGTAACGTAATCACAGGTCAGAACTCTCAAAAGAGTCCATTAAAATCCCACCCCCTATCCTGCCAGAACCGAAAAGTCACCTGACCCCCTCCATCTGCCGCTGAGTCATCAAGCCCCTTCTTTGAGCAAGGGAATTATTCAGCAAGGGAATCAAAAAGAACCCTGGAAATTCTTGGGTTTTGGTGTTCGTCTCCACCCTCACCCTCGTCTAAAGACCATTTTGTTCTTAACAGATGTAGCTGATTCCCTCTTTCTTTCACCCGCATGGTTACCTTCGGAGGCTGCCTTTGATTTTATTGGATACTGTTATTTTTACATCTCTTTAAAACACCTGCAAGAAACAAAATACATTTCTGACATATCCCCTTTAAATGCTAGAAGCTTGCAAAATAATACAAAACGATTTAGATTGCACATCTAGCTCTTAAATCGCTAACCAAAGAGTTTCCATTCCATCAGAGCAAAGCAGCTTCTGCTTTGAAAGAAATCAGGCTAAACACTGAGGTCAAACCCCTGTAAGAATTAGTAAATGTGTCATTATTTAAGAAGCACAATGACAGGTGGAAAACATTTGATAGTTATCTTTGACAAGCTCCTCTCTCTCTTTATAATGCATGTATCGTGATCATCTGTCCAGATTTCTTCCCTCCTGAACAAGATGATCCGGTCTTTCTGTCTGGCCCCTGCCCACTTTCCCAGGATGGGCATGCCAAGACCCAAGTCACGCGTGGGCCTGCAACAGCCCTCCCCCGCCTGGCACCTGCAGCAGCTGCAGCAGCCAGAGACCCCACTTTCGCTTTCCGGGGTGCCGACCGGCAGGAGGCCCGCGGGCCGGGGCTCCGCCTGCAGAGTCGGTGCCGCACGCCCCTTACCTGCAGTGCCGCATGGCGCAGCCCGGCCGCCCACCTGCACAGCATCCTAGAGCATCCTTTCTTCAGCGCGACGGCTGCGAGCGCGGTGACGTCACCAGGAGGCAGGCCCCACGCCGGCACGTGACACCCTCGGGGCGAGACGGGGGGGGGGGTAGGGGCGCGGGGTCTCGGGAGAAGACCTGGAAGTCCCTGGAGGTGAGGAGCGAGTGGCGGGGAAGCCTCGCTCCGGCCTGCCGTCTGGGCGATTTGCTTGCTGCGCGCAGCTTGCCTGGCCTTTCACGAAGTATGGGAAACAAACAGCGCACAGAAGGAGAAATCCAAATGATTACAGGCTCCAAGCATGTAATAGGATTTCAAAAGAGCTAGCAATAAGGGGATTAGTAATGAAAGGAAACAATTTAGTGTTTTATTTTAAAAAGTCTTTATCAAATGCAATGGAGAAATAAACATTTTGTGCAAATCAAAATGACGGTTTAAATTTTGAGTGCATGGACATACTTTGCATAGAGATTCAGTGTTTCAAATCATATAGCAAATATATCAAATACTTTAATTTGAAGCATATTCATTATGGATTATTATACTAATTGCACTGATGAATAATGCTTTTATTTACTCTCAGTAGCTGCACTCCAATATTAATTTGTATTTGCCAAAGAAAAAAATAGTGATACCACGTATTTATACTACTTACTCGAATATTTGATTATTTAAAATAAAGCACTATTGCATGAGCATGGCTGTACTTGGGTCTGTGTTTTGTTAAATCTTCTGGCAAGGAATTTGAACTCTCAGACATGAAAGAGTTAATTCACAATAACTCATTATTTTATGTTTTCTAATTTTTATGACATTCTGCAGAAGTGAGTCATCTTACTATTACAGAAAATATGTAGGATATCAACATTTCTCATTCACAACGGAAACAGCGTTGCCTAGAAAGCCTTAGAAAATTCCAACTGTGATCATGCCGTAAATTTGAAATGGCATATTTCAAACTTTAGCAGTGAACACATCAACTTTTCTTTTGCCACACCACATAAATGGTTTTGAAGTGGGAAGGGGCAAAAGCAGGAACTGTTTTTATATTTGTATTCCAGTTTCATATAGATTAGCTTAGTTTCGCTTGAGTTTAAATAACAATTTTAACATTCCCTTCGCTCACGCCCCTGAAAGAGATGTGAAATAGATTGTTTTACAAGCAGGCAGGAGTTACTTGCTATTTATTCCAGCAGCTTTCACGTCCTTCTATATTTAACCGGTGCCCTTTTACCACGATTCCCTCCAGATTAACCAAATTTCTGTTCAGAAGGTCAGTCTCTAATTTGGGGATAAATATGGGCCCTTGTCTCTCACAGCCATCTATTATTTTCAACATCAGATTTTAAAAATCAACATAGTGGCCGTGTAGTTTTCTAGGTCACTCCTCTCGTTTGTTTTTCTGAGTGATAAGCAACTTACCTTTGCTTTCAGGTTCCTCAGATATAAAGTTAAAATGCTATCGAATTCCCCTGCTCCTGTGGGTTGAGGGTCTGATGGAGACAGAAACTGACAAGCGTATTTTCCTGCCCGAGGCAAATGTCGATTTCAGCCTCAGGCGCCCGGGATCCACCTCCACCTCCCGGCGAGCCCGGCTGGGAGCGTCACGTGCTCGGCCCTGCCACTCAGCCCCGCCCAGCCCGCTCGGTCACCTCTTGGCTCTGGAGGCCCGCCGTGCCAATTTCTTTCGCCTCCTATACTCGGTGTTTTCGTGTCCAGAGAGAAACCAGCGTCCCCGACACAGGATGCGCTGTCCTCAGAGGCTGGGTTGCACAGACTACGGTCACAGTAGTTCCAGGAATCAGTGGGAGCTGGAGGGTCTATAAAATGCCCTCCTGCGGTCTAAAATGACTTGCTTTGTGTTCCGGCTTGGCGGAAATGACTAAAGTAGAGGCACCTTCCTCATCTGGGGGCGACGTTTTTGCCAATAGGTAAATTTCACCTTCTCTTTTCCAGGTGATTGCTCAAGTGTAAAAACATTACGGCAAACAGGCGATTCAGAAAAGACTCAAAACTGGGCCGTGCAATTTTCAATAGAATGAGATAACTTCCAACATCCTCCACCCCCACCTATGAAATTGTCATTTTGGCAAAGATTAAAAAAAAAAAAAACAGATACCACTCATGAGAATGTAAATTGAACAAGCTTCCTGGTGGGCTGTTTAATAATTCCTACCAAAAGCCTTACAAGTGTGCATAGTGTGAAAAATACAATGGGCCCATCAGCTGTTGGTGTCGTTTGCTCCAGGAATTTGCCCCAGGGGGAAGGGAGTGCAAAGAATCACCTAAGGGGGCCGGCCTGGTGGTGCAGTGGTTAACTGCGCAGTTAAGTGCGCAGGCGCTCTGCTTCGGTAGCCCCTAGGTTCGCAGGTTCGGATCCCGGGGCTCAAGGCACCGCTTCTCAAGCCATGCTGTGGCAGCATCCCATATAAAGTAGAAGAAGATGGGCACGGATGTTAGCCCAGGGCCAATCTTCCTCTGAAAAAAAGAGGAGGATTGGCATCAGATGTTAGCTCAGGGCTGATCTTCCTCACAAAAAGAAAAAAAGAATCATCTAAGGAAAGTTTGCTGCCATATTATTTATGATCTCAGAGCACCGGAAGCAAGTTAAAGCTCCCAAAACAGAGGATGGGTTAAATTATAAGACATCTGTACAATGGAAGAATTAAAACTAAAGTGGTAGCAGATACTTTCTGACGTAGTATATTAAATGAAAAAAAAGCAAGCTCTGACACATTATATGCTGAACATCCATCTAATGTATGCAGGTGTTGAAGGAGAGCAGAATATGCCGCTCCAAAATATGCCACTTTGGCATATTGATGATTTTGAACTAAAGTTAGTTAAGAAACAGTCAGTGCAAGAAGGACACTCCGACCCTCCTTTGGCCCGCTGAAAGCAGGAAATAAATCTCCATGTGAAGGTCACTTCCCTGTACCAGGAGGACAAAAGGCATCCTTATGGTCACAGAGAGGGAATTCAGGGCCCAGAAGGCTATATAAACAAACTCTGTTACTTTTTCTCTAATTTGCTACCCGAAGCCCAAACCCCTCTGTTTTGTCAATACTTCACAAATTTATTGTTGCCTTGTCTAAAAGGTATAAAAGCTGCTTGCTTTTGTCACTTCGTGGAGTCTCATTTCTATGGGATCCCATATGTACGAAATTAAATTTCTCTCTCTCTTGCAAATTTGTCTTATATCAATGTAATTATTAGATCAGCCAAAGAACCTAAAAGGGAACAAGGTGTAGGGGAAGAGGGAGAATCTCCCTCTGCTCTTTCCCTTAAGGTTCTTATGGCTGGCCAAATAATTAACAAGACAGGTTACCAGGAGAAAATAATACCAAGTTTAATAACATGTATACATGGGAGAAACCAGGGACACTGCGTTTCTCAACACAATAGCAGAAATTCTCTCTTAAACACCATGTTCAGCTAAAGACAAAGGAGGATGTTGGGGGTGGGGGGAGTCAGTTACAGGAGATAACCACTAAAGCACAGTAAACAAGAGTAAGGTTATTATGCACATTTAAGGCCTCACCTTCCACATTGATAAGTTTCTACAAATGAGGTCGTCCCCCCTCTTCCCAATACAGAGGGAGATACCTTTACAAATGGAGATTTCCCTTATAAATGTAAATGTTTGGCAACTCCTTGCAGGGCAATCTAGAGAATGTGGCCAGAGAAACAGAATTTCCGATAAGATGGGCTTGTTGGTGCCTTTCCTATTGTAACATCTATTTTACATTATATTACAGATCTTCTATGTCAAATTCTTTAGGCAATTAGTGGGGGAGTTCAAATGTCCGTCAGAGAAAACAATCAAGGTAAAGAGATAGATTTCAGGGTGGCCAAATCTTTATCTCCCACAAAGGGAAAAGTCTCCTGCCCCTACAGTTTGATATATTTATATCTACACAAATACCTTTATATATGAAAATTGAAAACAGTCAGGAAGCGAATCCACTACAGTATCAACCGTGGTATTTCACTGGGTTGTGGGATTCTGGGTGTGTTACATTTTTCTTTTCTTTAGCTTAGCTACATTTTCTAATTTTCTATGAGTAACATGTATTCCTTTTGTAAGAAGAAACAGTTATTGCTTGTTTTGTTGAAAGCACCGTAGTAGACACGATCATGGAAGAAACATTTTTGGCTACCTTTTAATGCAGATTTAATTAGCTGAAGATTCTCAAATCTTAACCACAAAGCCCCCAGAGAACAATTCCTAGTCAGCCGAGATTATTCTGCTCATAAAAATCTTTAGGAAAGAAGATGCCAGCCAGGAACTGGTATTAATGTTTAATCGTCTGTACATCCAGTCCCAATTTTTCTTCCATTTAAATTCACTTTTTCTTATTCTGCCCTGTGCGGGGTTAGAAAGTCAGTCCTTACCGTCCTTCGTGAAAAGATTCTTCAAATACTTATGTAATAACTTTTGAGCTTTAATTTCTCCATACTGGCGCCTTCTATTTTCTTCACAGATTTCTACTTTTTACCCCTTTGAATCTTTTACATTTTTGTCCTCTTGATTATCTGCTGCTGGGACATTTAGTAATGTCTGGGGACATTTTTGGCTGCCACAACTCGGGGAGGGAGGTGCTACTGGCATCTAGTGGGTAGAAGCCAAGGGTGCTGCTCAACATCCTACGGTGCACAGGGCAAACCCATAAGAAAGAATGTTCCAGCTCAGAATATCAGTAGTGCCAAGGTGGAGAAACCTTGGTAAGTAAAGTATAATTTGATGCGCAAAATGTTCCATTTCCCAGGCTTTTTTTTTTTTTTTCCATTTCTTTGCTTTATTTGACTCTTTAATTTCCAAGATAATGGTTGTCTTCCCGGGCATTTTTAAGGGTTCACAGCTAGACACTCTGCTTCATCATAAACCCTTAAATGCAGTACCCCTGGCAGGTGAGAAGTATAATTGTCTGTGTGTTCATGTGCTATTTCGGAATCAATGCATAGGAAACTTCGAAGGGTGGTTATCTCTGGGGAGGAGAAGCCCCGGTGGCTGGAACACAGAGGTGGAAGGGAAGTGTTCATAGACATGGAAACGCGTTACATGGTTGTGGGGGAAGAGGGAGAGGCCCCCCCTGCCCTTTCCCTTAAGGTTCTTATGGCTGGCCAAATAATTAACAAGGCAGGTTAGCAGGAGAAAATAATACCAAGTTTAATAACACGTATACCTGGGAGAAAACAGGGACACTGTGTTTCTCAACACAATAGCAGAAATTCTCATCTTAAATACCATGTTCAGCCAACGACAAAGGAGGATGTTGGGGGTGGGGGGAGTCAGTTACAGGAGATTACCACTAAAGCACAGTAAACAAGAGTAAGGTTATTATGCAGATTTAAGGCCTCACTTTCCACATTGATAAGTTTCTAGAAATGAGATCATCCCCCCCTTCCCAATACAGAGAGGGAGATACCTTTACAAATGGAGATTTCCCTTATAAATGTAAATGTTTGTCTGGCAACTCCTTGCAGGGCCATCCAGAGAATGTGGCCAGAGAGACAGAACTTCCGATAAGATGGGCTTGTTGGTGCCTTTCCTATTGTAACATCTATTTTA